ACTTTGGATCACATGAGTACTTTGATTTATAACCACAATGACTTACAACTGTAATTCCAGGCTGAATTATGATTGTAAATTGAGGACTGTCTGTAAAACCTTAAAGAAATATCAAATAATGATGGCCTACTTCAGGGGTGTCAAACTCGATTTCATTGAGGGCTGCATCAGGGTTGTGTTTGACCTTGGGGCCCCAGGAGTAGTGGTCATGGCCGGGGTGGGAGTGGTCAGCATGGCTGTGGCCAGTGTGGGGATGGCCAGCTCAATGTCACTGAAGGCTGTTTTCGGCTGCAATGGCCTCCTGCAACCCTCTGCCAGTGAAAACGGAGCCCGAGTGGGCCACGTGTGGCCTCCCTGAGCTCTGTTTTTGCTGCAGAGGGCTGTGGAAGGCCATCACAAAAATGGCTCCCGTGAGCTCCGTTTTCACTGTTTCCAGGGCAGTCCCATGGGCCAGATCTAAGTGCCCCAAGGGCTGAATCCGGGCTGTGTGTCTTGAGTTTGCCACCCCTGACCTAATTAGTCACTAAAATTGTAACTATTCTTTGGATGACCGAGGAGTGGGGAACTCTTTGTGCCTCAGAGTAGAATAAGGAAAGCAGCCACCAAAAACACCTCCCTACATGCACTCTCCAGTCATACCTTTCGATAAAAAGGACCTTCAGGCAAGGACTCCCTATTCACCTGGGTCAGTTGGGCAGAATTTACTTAGGACAGCTAGTCTCCAAAAGAACTGTGTCCTGTAGCTTTATTGACAATAACCAGCATATTGAATTGTACTTGGAAAGAAACACTAACTAGCACAGCCCCCGTAACTGTGATGTTATTAGACAATACCATATTGCACAGTAAGCGCACGGACTGTTGCATTATATATTAGCTGAATTTTCAGAGTGGTCTTCAAGGGTAACTCCCCCTCCCCAAGTTAATTGCAATAATCCCGGCATGAGATAAAGGTATGTGTAACCATATTGAGAGCATCCTGTTCTAATTAAGGCTGCAGCTGAAAATACCAGCTTAGCAAAGGGTCTCTTGGGCATGATTTAGATTTGGTCTGATTTGGCTAGCTTTTGGGATGTAGCACATCTTGAACTGAGTAAGGAACAACAGTATTTGCTGTTCTACCTTAGACTGAATGCAACTAACAAAGCACAAAACACCAAATTGCCAATACATAAAATAACTACATCTATTTTAAGTTATGGCCATCTGGCACAATTGCTACAAACGCTAACATTCTAGGATCATATCTCATTGCTTACCTAAAGCAGTACACACATTCCTTCAAAGCAATAGTGGTGTTTTTTTTATAAACGTTTTATTTGGGTTTTCACAAAACATAATACAAGTAAAATATATTTTTTTTTTTTAGAATAGCATGGTCCCGGGTTATCACTTCTCCATACAGACACAAATTCAATTTCATATTCATCTTGTGTTCTATTCCATATCTTATTACTATTTTAACATTTTCTCAATAATTTTTCCCTTCCCTTAGTTTTCTCAATCTTACATTGAATTATCTCATTCCTTTCTAAATTCAA